TATTCTTCCGATCTTTGCAAGCATTTGGAAATTGCATGGCCTGGAATGACTCAAAACGCTATAGGGTCATTGATTACAAACATGTTTTGATTTAACAGGGGTATAACTACTATGCCTACTTGTCCTATGCGCATGGGGGGTAATGAGACCAGGTTACACATCTTGTGTGACTACACCTATGCAACAATTTTGCGGCATACTACTCTAAATGGAGATTACCCTTCCGACTTTTTCACATATGATGTACACCAATAGGTTGCTATAAACTTGGTTTGCATCTTCAATTGTAAATAATTAGGGTGTTGTTTTTGCTATCATGTTTGATACTCTTTGGCATAGGAGAAAAAGGTGGTATTTTAGAATGAAAAAGTATGTTATAACCAGATTGCCCATGAAATCAAAAGTCGAGTTTCGAAAATAGTTTGTTATTGTGGGGTTCGTAATTATCCTAATTTTTTTTTTACTCAAAAAGACAATCCTACTACCTTTTGGGAGGTGCCCCCCACTATGAATGTATAAATTGATTTGTGATAGGCTGTAAGCGATGGTGTCACATCTTATGGTGATGTGATTTGTAATAGTTTGGTGGGCTTGTTATTGGACTCTCTTGTAATTTGGGAAATTGTTTGATTGTCCAAGTCAAACTTTGTGTTATGTATGTTGGTTTGAGGATTGTACATAAATGAATATCGACGATACTATTCTTGTGAAGTTTGATTCGACCTTGATAGTTGATACTTTCGTTTTTAAACACATGCTTTGAGAAGTAAATCATGTTGTTGATATCTTAACTATATGTGAGAGAGAGCTTTGTCTAAAGGTGTTCATATATATTAGTCCCCTCCTCCCATGGATTCAAATTACTTTATTTGATGATGTTTCAAATGTATTTATTTAAAGAAGATTTTAATTTAGGTTTTTTACTCCCCATTGTAAAAAAAAAAAGTGAAACCTAAAATGTCTTCATTAATTATTAAAGTATTAATAATTTTTCATATATTTATTTGTTAAATTATTTTTATAATAATATTTATCTATAAATAATTATTGGAGAAAAATTGTAGAAAGAAGAAATAATTTATTTTTATATTATTTATTTAAAGATTTATAGAAAATCAGCTAAACATAGAAAATAACAGTCATAATAATCTGAGAAAATCAATATATCACGGCTTTTAATGAGGAAGGTAGAATCGAACTAAATGCTACTAGAGCTCGTAACGGAACATGACTACTAATTTAACCATGGTCCAGATCCAGCCCCCACTCAGTAACCGTGGTTAAAATTTAACCTGCTATAAAGCAATCCCTTGGGCGGTTTCATTTTCACCGTGCAAATCAAATACTCCTCGATATAAACCCCTTTCGCCCAAATTTGTAGGTTTTCTACAATTTCCTATGGCTTCTGCTGATGTAGAGTTCCGTTGCTTTGTCGGTGGTCTCGCTTGGGCCACTGACAGCGACGCTCTCGAGAAAGCTTTCTCTCTGTACGGCGACATCGTTGATTCGAAGGTCCGTTTGTTGCAGGCATCGCATCTGATCTGACACGATTCGGTTTCGGAATTTCACGATCCCGTTCTAATCTGTCATATCTGATCTATTTGCGTTACTTGATCTATGATACTTCTTCTGTTACTATATCATTCTTTTATTACTCACGCCAATAGGTACGTTCATCTTCGTCTTTTAACCAAAGGAGAAGATCGATCGGTTTCTATTCGGTTTTGAATTTGTTTTCCCTGCTGCTTTGCTTTGGATTTGATTGATGTGCGTGTTTTAATTTGCAGATTATCAACGATCGTGAGACTGGAAGATCCAGAGGTTTTGGATTTGTGACTTTCGCGTCTGAGCAGTCAATGAAAGATGCGATCGAAGGGATGAACGGCCAGAACCTTGACGGCCGTAACATCACCGTGAATGAAGCTCAGTCCCGCGGCAGTGGTGGCGGAAGCCGCGGTGGTGGTGGTGGCTACGGTGGTGGCGGTGGATATAGCCGTGGTGGTGGTGGATATGGTGGCGGCGGTGGATATGGTGGTGGCGGATACGGAGGACGTCGCGATGGTGGCTACAATCGTAATGGTGGTGGTTATGGCGGTGACAGAGACCGTGGATATGGTGACGGTGGTTCACGCTACTCTCGTGGTGGTGATGGTGGCGGTTATGAAGGAAGTTGGAGAAACTAGGGCTTAATGTGCTAGATTAGGGTTTATTACGTTGACAAATTTTAGATGTTCTGGTTTACTGCTCCCGTTCTCGGTTTTTACCTATGGTAGTATATAATAATCGGTTGAAGAAATCACAGTCAGAAAATAGTATTAAAAATATTTATATAATTTTATATGTTGGGCTTAGAAAATATTCTAAGCGCGTTACTCCTATAAACCTTCAGCCTAAGGTGAGGTTTAATGATGGCCATTTCCTATTGCTTTAGGAGAGCTATTTATCATGATCTCAATTAAGTCTTTATTTTTTAAGAACTAAAATAAATTTTTTTGTTTTTCGTAAAGAATGCTATATTGGTCACTTTTTCGCATAATATTGATCACAATTTTAGAGATAGAGCTGTCAGTTTTTCCGTTAAAATGTTTTTTACACTAACTATATAAGTTAATATAATTTTTTTTATATTAACAACTAATTATATTTTTTAATTGTGTCATATTATTATAAATATATTTATTTTTTACAGTGATATAATATAATTAAAAGATAGGTTGTTAGTGTAAAAGAACTTTACACTGATAGTTAGTATACAGGTGATTACTTCTTATATTAATTCTATTTGTTTTTGTTGTTAAGATCTCGTTTTCTTTTTCATCGAAATCACGGAGATTATTAACATGAATGGACATATACACCTCAATTTTCAAATAAAACTGTATTTTAATGTATTAAAATATTTTGCTTGGTAAAAGTTAATTGAAATGCAAATTATTTATGATCACTTTGAAATCGTTGCGAAATTACTTTTTTCCATCAAATTTAAGTTGATTTTAACTTCTTTATTATTTAACTATGTATTATTTAGAAAGTGTATTTTATATCATATATGTACATATAATGTAAAAATATTGTATATTATATTAAGAAAATGGTTTTATGATATTTATTATAAATGTTTTTTTATTGTTTCTTCATGTTTTTTTAAATGAGATTGCTATTATTAAATTATATTAATTAATTTTAAAAATAATGTAAAAAATATATACTTTCTAGTTTTTAGGTATTGGTGCCAAAATATCCACCTATTATACTACCCATTCATGGTTACCTATAATCAGATTTTCATTGTTGGTTGTTATTCTCATTTTAATTTTCAATACATATATTGTATAATTATACTTTCATATGTTTTAACAATATACGTTAATTGGTTTAAAAGAATATACGTGAATTGATGAATTATTAACTTATTTTCGATTGTAAAATTGATTTACTGATTTTAAAATAATTAAAATATAGATATATTTTGGCATGAAAAGTGTGAATGAGATATTCTCACGTGATATTTTTTGTGAAAATATTTTCTTGTGTTGTGTTATACAATTTTTTTATATTACGTTTTTAATGTATTCTTATTTTATTTTTTTTCAACTTTTAATATATTTTTATTTTAAGAAATGTTATTAATTTCAATGTAAATATTCAAAGAAAAATAAAATCATAGACCAGTAAAATTATATATATTGCAAATTACACGAGCCAAATCTTATAATTTTAATTAATTATCTTAAGAATTATCACTGATTATTTGTATTATAATTAATTAGATAAATATCAAACAACTGGATTAGTTTAGTTGCTTTATTTATTAAATATCTTATAATATAGTATTTATTAGTATAATGATGGAGATATGAATTAAAGACTAACTACTTTTATCTATAAAAATTATAATGACATCATGTTATAGTCCTGTGCTTCCTACTTCACTACTAGTTTTGTTATTCATAATTTTTCATATTTATTTTTTCTAATTTATGTCTAAAAGGTGTAAAAATTAATTCAGAATATATGCAAAACAAAGCTCTATTTTCACTAATTAAGGCATCACTTTTCTTTATTCTGGTGTATTATATTAAACTTCTTTTTGACATTGTTAAATTTCTAAATTATGTTTATTTATTAATTAGTTTGTAATTAAAGATTAATTATAAAACTGTTTGTATATCTACGTTGTTTCAGAATATTACCTAAATATCATGGCATTATAATGACTTTTGATAAGTTGTAACTTCAAGAATCTTTTAATACCTTACCATCCGTGACCCCACCATTTCACCTTAGCTCGGTTTGCCTTACACATGTTCAATTAAAAATGCTTTTGAAGAAATATTGGCAGAAAAAATACTCAACTAACTATTTGAAAATATCATTTTGTGTAATATTTCATATAACAACAATGAGTTGCAATATATAGGATAAAGGATAAAGTGTATCACATACCTTTCTTTGTTGGACTTTTCCTTTATCTTTCTACCAAACTTACTGAATTGTTGAACTATCAACTTGGGCCTTACAAAAATGCTATTCAGGTCCAAATTATCCATGTCTTGCAAAAAAATAAAAGTAATGAACAAAATGAGCCCAAAATTTCAATGGCCCAATTTTGAACCATAACCCATTTAAATTTAAAAATATTAAAAATTATGCTAAACAAAAAAAAATCTCAGAAACCTGCTGAGCCCAAGATAAATGTCTGCTTTTGAGCCGAATGTGTAGAGCCCTAGAACAGTATACCCTGTGAATGTGATAGAGTGATAGTGTAACCAAACGCGGCTACTAATTCAACCACGGTCGAGGTCCAACCCAGATGCGGTAACCCTGGTTAAGAATTCACCAGCTATAAAATAATCCCTTGGGCATACGTCTTCACCGTGCAAATCTTATCCCTTTCTCTAAAATATCTGTCCCAAATTTCTAGGGTTTCTTCTGCTTCCAATGGCTGCTGCAGATGTTGAGTATCGGTGCTTCGTCGGTGGGCTTGCATGGGCCACCGATAGCGACGCCCTCGAGAAAGCCTTCTCTCAATACGGCGACGTCGTTGAATCGAAGGTCCGTTTGTTGCAGGCATCGCATCTGATCTGACACGATTTGGATTCGGATTTTCTCGATCCCGTTCTGATCTGTGATCTCTGATCTATTTGCGTTACTTGATCTATGATACTTCTTCTGTTACTATATGATTCTTTTATTACTCACGCCAATAGGTACGTTGATCTTCGTCTTTTAACAAAAGGAGAAGATCGATCGGTTACTATTCGGTTCCGGCTTTGTTTTTGTTCGCTTTTGCTTCAGATCTGACGGATCTAGTGTTTTTGTGTGCAGATTATCAACGATCGCGAGACCGGAAGGTCCAGAGGCTTTGGATTTGTGACTTTTTCCTCGGAGCAGGCCATGAAGGACGCGATCGAGGGGATGAACGGTCAGAACCTTGACGGCCGTAACATCACTGTCAACGAGGCTCAGTCTCGTGGCAGCGGTGGTGGCGGCAGCCGCGGTGGCGGTGGTTACGGTGGTGGCGGTGGATACAACCGCGGTGGTGGTGGATATGGTGGCGGCGGCGGATATGGTGGTGGTCGTCGTGAAGGTGGATACAACCGTAATGGTGGTGGTGGATATGGCGGCGGCGGCGGCGGCTATGGCGGTGGCAGAGACCGTGGTTATGGTGATGGTGGTTCACGCTACTCCCGCGGTGGTGATGGTGGTGCTGAGGGTAGCTGGTGATTGATGTCTTAGATTAGGGTTTATGGTTGTATCGAGTAATATTTAGACGGTGTGGTTTGGTTTTAAGTATCTGTCTTGGTTTCCTGTTCCCGGTTCAATGTCCCCTGTTCTCGTCTTTTACCTTCAAATCTGGTTGTGTATAATAATTGATTAAAAGATATGCTAGCCAGAAAATTAGAAATTAGAGTATCAAATTTCAACAGAATTTAAAGTTTTTGTGGCGGAATTACTCTATTTGCTCTCGAAATGTTTTTATTTATTTATTTGTTGAATGCAAGGTGTGAATCAGCCCTAAAGAAAAAACGATAAAGAACAGCTAGATAATTGAAATTGACAGCTACATTATATCTTCTTAGTATAAGACGAGATCAATAATTTTTGAAGGGGTGGATTGACAGTAGACGATTGGATCTGCAAATGATGAATTCTATGCAATACGAAAGTGACTTTTTTTCTCCCTCCGTTAAATTGGTGAGTTGGGACATATTGGAATCTTTTTAAGATTGAAAATATTGGACACAATTTTCAGAGGATTTGTTTTCACTTTTCAAGAACGACAGTGTTTTGGTTATTTTAATAATTTAATTAGGTTAAAATCGCATCACAGTCTGTGTTTTGGTTAGATTAATTGCAGGATCAATGAATCATATTTCCCTCTAAGTTGTTGATTAATATTGACTGGTAAGCTAAGAACCCGAATTTCGTTAACGACTGAATTAATGCAACCATGAATGTCAAATCCAAGCTTTCACACGAAACGTAATTTCAGAGCTTATGCGCAAAAGGTGGGACTCCCAACGTGCAAAAAGTTGACTCACCTCCACAATGAGAAAATATCTCACTTTTTCGCCAAGATGTGCAAAATGTGGACCACCTCCACGATTGGAAAATATCATTCTACCAAGATATTTTTGAGTGTCTACCAAATATTTTGCACAAGTTGCCGATATTTGTTGGTGTTCATATTTCGTATGGTAAGAGACTGATATTTTAATTTTATAATAATAATTAATTATAAATTTAATAATTAATAATTATGATAAACTTAAGTAAATATAATAATATTTAAAATTATTTATAATATTTACCGAAATTTTTTTTACCAACAATTGTTTAACGTGGATTTTTTTTAATATTTTTTTCTTAATTTTATCTTGCCTCATGTTTTCGAAAGATTTTATGAGAAATAATGAAAAATAACCTCTAACTTTTTTCTTCAAATTTAAGATAAATTTATTTTTATTTTTATTTTTTAAATTTAAAATTATTTTTTCAGTTTTATAATTTTAAAAATTTTATTTTAATTCTATATATCACTAATAATATATCTAAAAGTGATAAATTAAGATAATTATATAATATTAATTTAAATTTAAATTTAAAAGATGAAAAATAAATTAAAATTAAAAATATATTTAAATCTTATTTTTATTATTTCTTATGCAAACTTAAGGCCAAAAACGAAAAGACAAAAAAGATTTTTTTTTTTCAGTCTAACTCCTGAGTTATAAATAGTCAAACGATTTTAACTATAACATAAGTTAAATCAATGGTTATAAATGTTCATGTGAAGTATATATTTTCTAAATATCGAATTTTAGAAAAAAATCTTATTTATTTCTTATTTTCAAAGTTTAAGATAATATTATTTTTGTGTCGATTATACCTAGTTTTTACTTATTTTTATAATTAATTTATATATTTATCATGAAAGTGAAAACGAAAAAATAATTGGTGCACCTATACTGTGGAGTAAAAATGAAAAAAATATAACATGAAACTGATAAAGAATAACTATTTTATCGAAAAAAATACATTTAAGAAGAAATAAATAAATAAATAACAGCTGTAAAATAAATATGTTGGATGATCCACCTTGTATTGTTTTTTAGAATAAACTATTTTTATAAATATTTAACACACTTTTAGGAGTAAAATAATCAAATTAAAAAAAAACCTAAATATGCTAAAAAAAGAAGAAAAAAAAAAGAAGAAAGAAAATAATTACAATATTTGTTATAGAAGCATATTTGCAAGAACCACATGAATGAACAGTGGCAGATACAAATATTTTTAATATTTTTTCAACAATAAATATA